TCTTCTATATATGGGCCGGCTTGACCTGTCGGCCCTCATGTCAGATTATTGTACAAATAAAAAACGCAATAGAGCGCATGGCTATTATGGACTATGATATTAATAGGATGTGCCAAATTTAGAATTAAATGTTTTTTATTATTATAAGGTTTTTAGAATTGATCCTTTTTTTTCTTGGCAAGTTTTGATGAACATTAGCTAGGAGTCTTCTCTGGGGTCTCTAATAATTACTAATAGCATATAAGATAAAGACTAGCTTGGCACATAGATGCTCGTCCCGTTTACTAACATTTAGCAGAACAATTTAAACTTGGACCATCAATGACTTTCAAAACAAGGCTGAGAATTTGTATATGTAGATATATCCACGAAAGTCAAAACAAATTTACCACCTATCTACTTGAGATTTTGTGTGTGTGTAATAACAGTCTGAAATTAAAGTCGAGTGTATACATACCTCGTCACATCTTTCTAAGTGCTCGGCTGCAGCCCAGGCATAAGCCATTGAAAGATGTCGGTCACAAGTTTGTCACGTTGTATTGTCACGTACTTGGGTTCCGTGCGGCCGGAGTCGGCGTCGCGCGTCTACATACGGCGCCAACCTCGATGGCGACATCGGAGAGGCGACCCACGGCCTCAATCGCACCTCGTCAAGATAGCAAAGATCGCCACTCGAACACCGCCACTTGGGTGTGCGTAAGCGAAACAACGAGTACTTGGTGAACACGGCTGTGACGCCCGAGTGACACAAGAACAACAACGGCTCCGATGGCGATTCAGTCTTGCTGTACCAACGACATGACATGCGGAGAGTCTCGAGGTCATCGACGAGCATGGTGACGGCGGCTTTGGTGTCATCCGTCCTCACGCCGACGCCGGTGAAGCGGAGGTGTTTGAGGCAAGCCATGGTGTCCGGCGTGATGCTCATATCGGGCAGCGAAAGCGTGCACTTGCCGATGTGCAGGTCCTCGGCAATGACAGGAACATGGTGGCGGCGAAGCGGAAGTCCTCGCGCACCACCGTGTCCCCGGCGGGCGCTGATGGCGGCGCCGCGTGCATGCGCGGGCGGCCTCACGGCAGCGTACCAGAACGCAGCAGCACTGCTGCTCGACCAGAGCGGGCGGCAGCAGGAGGGACCAGCGCCGGCATCCGCATCAGGTAACAACTCCTTGCCCACATGGTGGTATTTGACTCTGAGTGCAGAATATTAATTTTGTGCTTGTATGAAGCATTGTTGCTTGACAGAGATTTTTTTATATAAGTATAACTGATTGTATAGTGCAGGCATAGGTGCTAGTGCCCTTCTCAACAGCTTCAACATTCAGAACCGTGACCTTCAAACAGCATAGTTGCGCAATACCTTCGACGTGCAGCATAGGTCCTGCTGTTGAATCATGTCCGTGACCATGGATTGCACACAGTACTTGCTTTAGGGATGACGTCACCTGGCGGCCTTCCAGAAGCCGACAGCTACCGCTGCCTGCCGCCACAGCCGAGAGGTGTCCTCTTGGTCTTCTATGGGCCGGCTTGACCTGTCGGCCCTCATGTCACATTATTGTACAAATAAAAAACGCAATAGAGCCCATGGCTATTATAGACCATGATATTAATAGGATGTGTTAAATTTAAAATTAAATGTTTTTTTATTATTATAAGGATTTTTGGAATTCATCCTTTTTTTTCTTGGCAAGTTTTCATGAACATTAGCTAGGAGTCTTCTGTGGAGTCTCTAATAATTACTAAATATAATATAAGATAAAGACTAGCTTGGCTCATAGATGCTCGACCCGTTTACTAACATTTAGCAAAACAATTTAAACTAGGACCATCAATGACTTTCAAAACAAGGCTGAGAATTTGTATATGTAGATATATCCATGAAAGTCAAACAAATCTACGACCTATCTAGTTGAGATTTTTTTTGTGTGTGTAATAAGAGTCTGAAATTAAAGTCGAGTATATACATACCTTGTCACATCTTTCCAAGTGCATGGCTACAGCCTAGGCATAGGCCCTTGAAGGATGTCGGTCACAAGTTTGTCACATTCTTGTATTGTCACGTACTTGGGTTCTGTGCCAATCGGAGTCGGCGTGCGTGTCCTACCGGCGTCAACCTCGATGGTGACATCGGAGAGGCGGCCCACGGCCTCAATGCGCACCTCGTCAGCATAGCAGCATCGCCACTCGAACACCGCCAGCTTGGGTGTGCGTAAGCGGAACAACTAGTATTTGGTGAACATGGCTGTGACGCCCGAGTGACACAAGAACAACAGCGGCTCGGATGGCGATTCAGTCTTGCTGTACCAACGGCATGAGATGCGGAGAGTCCTGAGGTCATCGGCGGGCACGGTGACGGCGGCTTTGGTGTCATCCGTCCTCACGCTGACGTCGGTGAAGCGGAGGTGTTTCAGGCGAGCCCTGGTGTCCGACGTGATGCTCATACTGGCAGCGAGCGTGCACTCGCCGATGTGCAGGTCCTCCAGCGACAGGAACACGGTGGCGGCGAGCGGGAAGTCCTCGCGCACCACCGTGTCCCCGAAGGGCGCTGATGGCGGCGCCGTGCATGCGCGGCGGCCTCACGGCGTACCAGAACGGCAGCACCTGCTGCTCGACCGTAGCGGGCGGCAGCAGGAGGGACCAGGCGCCGGCATCCGCATCAGGTAACAACTCCTTGCCCACATGGTGGTATTTGACTCTGAGTGCAGAATATTAATTTTGTGCTTGTATGAAGCATTGTTGCTTGACAGAGATTTTTTTATATAAGTATAACTGATTGTATAGTGCAGGCATAGGTGCTAGTGCCCTTCTCAACAACTTCAACATTCAGAATTGTGACCTTCAAACAGCATAGTTGCGCAATACCTTCGACGTGCAGCATAGGTCCTGCTGTTGAATCATGTCCGTGACCATGGATTGCACACAGTACTTGCTTTAGGGATGACGTCACCTGGCGGCCTTCCAGAAGCCGACAGCTACCGCTGCCTGCCGCCACAGCCGAGAGGTGTCCTCTTGGTCTTCTATGGGCCGGCTTGACCTGTCGGCCCTCATGTCACATTATTGTACAAATAAAAAACGCAATAGAGCCCATGGCTATTATAGACCATGATATTAATAGGATGTGTTAAATTTAAAATTAAATGTTTTTTTATTATTATAAGGATTTTTGGAATTCATCCTTTTTTTTCTTGGCAAGTTTTCATGAACATTAGCTAGGAGTCTTCTGTGGAGTCTCTAATAATTACTAAATATTATATAAGATAAAGACTAGCTTGGCTCATAGATGCTCGACCCGTTTACTAACATTTAGCAAAACAATTTAAACTAGGACCATCAATGACTTTCAAAACAAGGCTGAGAATTTGTATATGTAGATATATCCATGAAAGTCAAACAAATCTACGACCTATCTAGTTGAGATTTTTTTTGTGTGTGTAATAAGAGTCTGAAATTAAAGTCGAGTATATACATACCTTGTCACATCTTTCCAAGTGCATGGCTACAGCCTAGGCATAGGCCCTTGAAGGATGTCGGTCACAAGTTTGTCACATTCTTGTATTGTCACGTACTTGGGTTCTGTGCCAATCGGAGTCGGCGTGCGTGTCCTACCGGCGTCAACCTCGATGGTGACATCGGAGAGGCGGCCCACGGCCTCAATGCGCACCTCGTCAGCATAGCAGCATCGCCACTCGAACACCGCCAGCTTGGGTGTGCGTAAGCGGAACAACTAGTATTTGGTGAACATGGCTGTGACGCCCGAGTGACACAAGAACAACAGCGGCTCGGATGGCGATTCAGTCTTGCTGTACCAACGGCATGAGATGCGGAGAGTCCTGAGGTCATCGGCGGGCACGGTGACGGCGGCTTTGGTGTCATCCGTCCTCACGCTGACGTCGGTGAAGCGGAGGTGTTTCAGGCGAGCCCTGGTGTCCGACGTGATGCTCATACTGGCAGCGAGCGTGCACTCGCCGATGTGCAGGTCCTCCAGCGACAGGAACACGGTGGCGGCGAGCGGGAAGTCCTCGCGCACCACCGTGTCCCCGAAGGGCGCTGATGGCGGCGCCGTGCATGCGCGGCGGCCTCACGGCGTACTAGAACGGCAGCACTTCTTTGCTTTCGACCAGAAGTGAGCGGCAATTGGAGGGACCAGCGCCGGCGTCCGCATCAGGTAAGAACTCCTTGCCCGCGTGGGGGTATTTGACTCTGAGTGCAGAATATTAATTTTGTGCTTGTATGAAGCATTGTTGCTTGATGGCGATTTTTTTATATAAGTATAACTGATTGTATAGTGCAGGCATAGGTGCTAGTGCCCTTCTCAATAGCTTCAACATTCAGAATCGTGACCTTCAAACAGCATAGTTGCGCAATACCTTCGACGTGCAGCATAGGTCCTGCTGTTGAATCATGTCTGTGACCATGGATTGCACACAGTACTTGCTTTAGGGATGACGTCACCTGTCGGCCTTCCAGAAGCCGACAGGTACCGCTGCCTGCCACCACAGCCGAGAGGTGTCCTATTGGTCGTCTATGGGCCGGCTTGACCTGTCGGCCCTCATGTCACATTATTGTACAAATAAAAAACGCAATAGAGCCCATGGCTATTATAGACCATGATATTGATAGGATGTGTTAAATTTAAAATTAAAAGTTTTTTTATTATTATAATGATTTTTAGAATTCATCCTTTTTTTTGTTGGCAAGTTTTCATGAACATTAGCTAGCAGTCTTCTGTGGGGTCTCTAATAATTACTAATATTATATAAGATAAAGACTAGCTTGGCTCATAGATGCTCGACCCGTTTACTAACATTTAGCAAAACAATTTAAACTTGGACCATCAATGACTTTCAAAACAAGGCTGAGAATTTGTATATGTAGATATATCCGTGAAAGTCAAACAAATCTACGACCTATCTAGTTGAGATTTTTTTTGTGTGTGTAATAAGAGTCTGAAATTAAAGTCAAGTATATACATACCTTGTCACATCTTTCCAAGTGCACGGCTACAGCCTAGGCATAAGCCCTTGAAGGATGTCGGTCACAAGTTTGTCACGTTGTTGTATTGTCACGTACTTGGGTTCCGTGCCAATCGGAGTCGGCGTGCGCGTCCTACCAGCGTCAACCTCGATGGTGACATCGGAGAGGCGGCCCACGGCCTCAATGCGCACCTCGTCAGCATAGCAGCATCGCCACTCGAACACCGCCAGCTTGGGTGCGCGTAAGCGGAACAACTAGTATTTGGTGAACATGGCTGTGACGCCCGAGTGACACAATAACAACAGCGGCTCCGATGGCGATTCAGTCTTGCTGTACCAACGGCATGAGATGCGGAGAGTCCTGAGGTCATCGGCGGGCACGGTGACGGCGACTTTGGTGTCATCTGTCCTCACGCTGACGTCGGTGAAGCGGAGGTGTTTGAGGCGAGCCCTGGTGTCCGACGTGATGCTCATACTTGCAGTGAGCGTGCACTCGCCGATGTGCAGGTCCTCCAGCAACAGGAACACGGTGGCGGCGAGAGAGAAGTCCTCGCGCACCACCGTGTCCCCGAAGGGCGCTGACGGTGGCGCCATGGATGCGCGGCGGCCTCACGGCGTACCAGAACGGTAGCACCTGCTGCTCGACCGTAGCAGGCAGCAGCTGGAGGGACCAGGCGCCGGCGTCCGCATCAGGTAAAAACTCCTTGCCCACATGGGGGTATTTGACTCTAAGTGCAGAATATTAATTTTGTGCTTGTATGAAGCATTGTTGTTTGACAGAGATTTTTTTATATAAGTATAACTGATTGTATAGTGCAGGCATAGGTGCTAGTGCCCTTCTCAATAGCTTCAACATTCAGAATTGTGACCTTCAAACAGCATAGTTGCTCAATACCTTCGACATGCAGCATAGGTCCTGCTGTTGAATCATGTCCGTGACCATGGATTGCACAGAGTACTTGCTTTAGGGATGACGTCACCTGTCGACCTTCCAGAAGCCGACAGGTACCGCTGCCTGCCACCATAGCCAAGAGGTGTCCTATCGGTCTTCTATGGGCCGGCTTGACCTGTCGGCCCTCATGTCAGATTATTGTACAAATAAAAAACGCAATAGAGCCCATGGCTATTATAGACTATGATATTAATAGGATGTGCCAAATTTAAAATGAAATGTTTTTTATTATTATAAGGATTTTTAGAATTGATCCTTTTTTTCTTGGCAAGTTTTCATGAACATTGGCTAGGAGTCTTCTCTGGGGTCTCTAATAATTACTAATATTATATAAGATAAAGACTAGCTTGGCTCATAGATGCTCGACCCGTTTACTAACATTTAGCAAAACAATTTAAACTTGGACCATCAATGACCTCTTTACGCCGTCTATTAAGGAAGAGAAGGAAGTTTAAGAAATTCCCCCCGCCGAGCAGCTAGTACTTTTAATACCGTCACCGACCGTTGATTGGAGGGAACAGTTCATCAAGTACCTCACCAGCGCCGATGTACCCGCCGACAAGACCAAAACTGAACGCCTCATTCGCTGCAGCAAGCATTACGTGCTGGTGGATGGGAACTTGATGAGGAAAAGTGTCAAGGAAGGGATACTGCAGAAATGCATCACCCAAGAAGAGGGGGTGAAACTACTTCTTGAAATTCACTCTGGCTCCTATGGCAACCACACGGCCTCCAGAAACCTGGTCGGCAAAGCTTTCTGAGCTAGTTTTTACTGGCACATGGCCATCTCTGATGCAGAAGACCTCGTCTGACGTTGTTAAGGATGTCAATTTTTCGCCAAGCAAGTACACGTGCCGGTGCAGGAATTGCAGACGCTAGGCGGTTTTCGGTACGTATACGTCGCCATTGACAAGTTCTCTAAGTGGATCAAATACAAGCTGCTTGTTTCGGCCACTACAAAGAAGGCAGTCGAGCTCTTCGAAGATATCATCCACAGATTCGGTCTCCCGAACAGCATTATCACCGACCTCGGAACTACATTCACTGATCATCATTTTTGGGACTTCTACGAAGACCAATGCATCTCCGTCAAATATGTCTCCGTTGCCCATCCTAGAGCCAACGGCCAGGTCAAACGGGCGAACGGCATGATCCTCGATGCCCTCAAAAAGAGACTATACTAGAAAGAGGAAAAGCATCCTAGCAGATGGCTCAAAGAGCTCCTAGCTGTGGTCTGGGGACTACGCACTCAAGCTAGTCGCAACACCGATGCGTCTCCATATTTTTGGTCTATGGCTCAGAGGCCGTACTTCTCGTGGACATTGCTTTCTGAGCACCCAGAGTAGAGCATTATAATGAAGAGCAAGCCACAGCTGTTCGGACAGAGGACGTCGACAGGGCCGAAGAAGAATGCCTGATCACTTGCATCTGCACGGCCAAATACCTAGAAGGCATGCGAACATACTACAATTGCAATATCAAAGGTTGTTCATTTGCGGTCGGTGACCTCGTTCTCTGCAGAAAGCAGAAAACCGAAGGGATGCACACGCTCTCCTCCCCCTGGGAAGGGCCTTACATGGTCAAAGAGGTTACCCAACCAGGGTCTTACCGGCTATGTGACTTGGATGGAGTCGATATCCCCAATTCATGGCACATCGAGCAACTTATATGTTTGTATCCTTGAAATGCTCTAGATACGTACTCTCCACTCCATAATGAATGAAGTTTTTGTCGCCATAATTTATCTCCACTATTTCTCCACTTCGGTTTAATCTCCATTTGCAGTCGCCAGCTCTAACCTACTCCTTAACAAACTTCGACAATTATATGTGATCTCCAAAAATGCTCTGCCACGTTTCTCCATACTAAAATATCTCTAAGATATTTCGCCAACCATCGAGCAGCACACGTTTTGCTCTGTAACCTTTGGAGAAAACCCAGTCTCTGATTTCTCCCTACACATGCTATGGGCTCCACGCTCTGCGTTATGGGTGGTCGACTGCGGTTCCTCGGTCATGTCTGTTCGTCCTACACGTGCATGGGCTCCAGTGCTCGACGTTATGGAATACGGGCTAGCCAAGGCCAAGAGCTCAGTAACGAACTAACTGCTTGGACGCTACTTATACCATGTATAAACGCGTTAGGGTTAACAACAAGTTTCTTTTTCACCGAAAGTGCTAGCAAACTGCATAAACATGCACACGATGTCAACATGCAACATTTATACAAATACATAAATGTTTACTTATGCCCTCGCGCATCTAATTCTCCTCTCCTTGTGTTCCATACATGTTCTCCACTTAGGTTTGGCCCTCACCATCTGCCTCGCCGAACAGATCGACATCGCCGGCCAGCCTCTTCGCCGCGTCCTCCACCTCATCCTTCAGCTGCTCCTGCTTTGTCACACCTGTCCCTCTAGCGAATTCGGCCCCTATCGCTCAAAGATTGATGTCAGGGTAGTGCGACCAGACCACCGCCAAGGCGTGTGTGACGACGAAGACAGTGGCATCATGGTTGAAGCTTTTGAAGTTCTCCCATGCCGCCTTGCACCTGTCGATGATGGCGTTCGGACATGGTGGCCTATCGTCGGGCTGAGGAGCTACCTCCATGTCGATACAGTCAAGCACCGGCTTGACTTCGGCCACCACAGCATCGAGTTTTCCTCTCTGGGTTTATGCCTCTAGCTCCAGCATGTCAAACTATGCCCTAGCCCTTCGACGGTATTGTGCAGACACCAAAGGGATTTGTCACACGAAGCAATCATATCAGCAACAACTCCGACCATGAACTACTCACCTTCCAAATCCTCAGCTAATTTCTCTGCTCGCCCAGACGCCTTGTCCTTCTCCTCTTGGAGTTGACCGATGACTTGACGCAACTGGCCGAGCACCACATCTTGCTCTACAAACATAACGGTGTACAACAGCGTCAAGACTGTTCAGCAATATAGAACGAACTCACCGATACTCAATACCTTTCTTCTGCTCGAAGATGCCTCTCAGCTTCTCGGAGGTGCATCCTAGCTGCTCGGAGACGCTGTTCAGCTACTTGGAGGTGCGCTCCTGCTGCTCGGAGACGGTCTTCAGTTGCTCGGATAGGATGCCCTTCTGGTACTCTAGATCCTTGGCGTTGGATTCAGCAAGATCTCGTTCGCGCTGGGCCCTCTGGACGTTCTTCTCCATCAGCTTCACCGCCTCCTTCAGCTTTGCATTCTCCTTGGCGAGGGGCTCCATCCTCTTGATCAGCTGCTGCCGGTGTGCGGCAGTTCGCGCTATGCCCTACAAAGCACCAAGATTGTAAATGACCCTATTCTCCAACGCCAAAGACGGACATCGCCGATGCAATACTAACCTCGATCTGCTTCATGGCTATGGAAAGGGTGGATCGTAGCCTCTTCACCTCCCTGGAGGTGTCCTCCTCCACGACCACAACTTCGTCCCCTTCGCTTGTGGAGGATGCGGATGGCTTGAGGTCGTGATTCTTCACGCTCAATCTCCTCGACCTCGTCCTCTTCTTCCACAGTAGGTGGCACTCCTTGGGTGCTCGATGGCGCTTCTCGGGGCTCGGTGGCCGCATGAAGCGATCAACCATGCCCCACAGCATCTCTGGGCGCGCCGCTTGCTCCTCCGACACTGCCGGCCTCTACGCCCCAGACTCTGGCACGACGTCAGTAGTTCTCACCTCCGCCTCCGAAGACACGATGGCTCTCGCTATTGCTCCTGGCACCTTCACCGATTCACCCGCCGTCGTCGCCAACGCTCTCCGCCGCCACCTCCATCAACAGCGGTGATCGACTCCTCCATAGACTGATGAGCGCTCGGGGTCTAGGACAGAGTCCGTCCGCAATGTCTCTATGCCGAGAACAGCCCCTGGCTGCTCGCCAGTCTGACCCGAGGGGTTTAGGTCCTCCGCATTCCCCGTTCTGCATCAAATCGGCTCATCGGTCACCCCAACCATGAAAATCAGAAAAGCTACTGATCCCAAGACAAAAATACTTACACATCAGCTTCATGGTAGATGGTTCTGAATCAGCGCTGCCTCCCCGAGCACCCAGGCGCTGCCCTAGGGTCAACCCGCTTGGCCTATGCTGGAGGTCTTATGGCCCCCGACGTCGGCGTCTCTTCCGCTAGCTGCTTGGGGACTCCTTCCCCTCCCTCTGATTGCACCTTCATGCGTGTGTTGTGTGATGGCGCCTTAGTGCTCGGAGGGGGAGCTACGAGAGCCTCGTTGTCATCTGACCACTCGGATATCACCGCACTTTGTGTCCGAGCGGTCTGATTCGCCACCAAGCGAGATGCCGCCCGGCCTGTGGGGAGCTACATCCATTGTTCTCCTCTTCTTTTGGGCCGGCTCATCTTAACCCGCCCTTTTCCCCCAGACCTTCTCCGACACCGGGGGGGACTCTCTGTTCGACCAGCAATTGCGCCTCCGGATTCGGATGAGGTGCTGACGGGACCTTCCTCCGAATGAGTGGTTGGCCTAGCGTCTACTGCCTTTGGCCAATCGGTCCTCGGCACGCCCGAGAAGTACGCCGCCCGTTCTTGCACATGGATCTTTCCACAAGCGAATTAGTTCACTGCTTGGCATCGGCATGGGATAAAATCACCAGGAACAACAGTTGAGATTTTTACCTAAGGAGGTG